ATCATGAGAATTGAGTATTGAGGTGTTGGTGAATTATGTTTGAGTTTGAGATATCCCACATTGATGAATAGTTGAAAATTTTGAACAAAATGAAGTGTTGGTTCATTTTGGCCCACCCTTTGTTTGCAAAAAAGTCACCTTTATATAAAATCTTTATATATAGGTCTCTCTCTATAAATAAGATTCACAAGAAATGATGTGTCACCCTAAGAATCGAGTATTATATATTTCTTGCATTGAGCTTGAGTTTGTGTATCCCACATTGATAGAGAGATGAAAAATTGACAACTGAAGGTAGGTTATATAAGAGGAGGTTGATGTATCTTTATTTTGACTCACGGGGTTAGTTCTCTTGGCTAATCTTATAAACCCATATCACTGGTTCATGTTGGTTAACCCTCTAATTCATGGGGTTTGTTCATTTTGACGAACACTTTATTTGCAAAAAAACTGTCTATATAAAAAAAATCAATATATCAATACAAAAGAAAACTAGAAAATAATAAGGTGGCWTCATTAAAACCAAATATTTTAAAATTCTTGCATTGTGGTTGGATTTTGGTATCCACATTGATTAGAAATTGATATGTCAATGAGAAAAATGAGTATATAAGAGAAATATGAGTTCCYTTTGAAAATTTAAAGGTTCATTTGGCTATATAAGCCATGTTTATCTTTAAATGTTTGGAGCAATTGTCTAAACTCACGAGCAATTGTCTAAACTCACGTGATTGGATCATTTTGACTGAACTTCCAAACATATACGGTTGACTCATTTTGACCAACCCTTTTTGTGACAAAATTAATCTATACTAAATATTAATTGAAGAAATAATTTTAATATATTTTTGAAAGTAAGAAGCGGAACCGTTGATGCGGCACCCTAATAATTGAATATTCTTCAATATTAAATTGTGATTGAGTTTTATATATCACGTACTGATTGAGAGTTGAAAGATTGACAAAAATGTTGGATATTAATGAGGTCTAGATGCCTTTGTGACAACTCATGAGGTTGGTTCCTTTTGGTTTGTTCTCTTAACACCTGTGGTTAGAGCATTTTAGCCGACCCTCCGAACACATGGTGTTGGTTCATTTTAGCCAACTCTCTTTTTGCAAGAAGGGTATCAATATTAAAAATTAATTATATATATAATATTTATTCTTTCTATATTTAAAAATTAGAACCACAACCATCAATGTGACACCCTAAGATTGAGTATTATTTAATCTTAAATTCTGATTAGTTTTATATATCCCATATTGATAGGTAGATAAAAGATTAACACTAAATGATAGATATATAAAGCAATATTGGGATGATTTTGTGGCAATTCATAGGGCTGACTCCCTTTGAATGATTCTCTAAACCCATGGTGCTTAATTTATTTGATTGACCCTTCTAACATAGGATTTTTGGCTAATCCTCTTTTTACAAAAAAATCTATATTAAAAGTTTAATTAATTAAATTAATATATATAATGCTATAAGATATTGACGTGACAAATTAGAATTTAACATTTTCAAATCATTAATTCTGGTTGAATTTGACTTGAATCTTAATCCATATTAATGAGAAAAAAATTTATTGAAAAACAGTTAAGTATATGAAACGAGAAGGATGCCTTGAAATATTGGAAGGGTTACAAATGCACTACGAAAATTTAGTATTTTCAATTTTGAAGTATAGGGATGTTGATGTGGTTCACATTTTCTTTGTATATTACTTGACATGTGTTATGATCACCGTGCAATGCATGATACCGAATACTAGTTTAGAGTAAAAACGTACCAAAAATAATGTTGCTTTCTCTATCATTAAAGAAAATCTTATACTTATTTTGCATTGTATAAAACATTATTATATTTTTAATTCATACGTAATTTTAATTATATTTAAAAAATTTAATTACAAATCAAAAACTCTTTTTTAGAACATAAAAAAAGGAAATATATTTTTTAAAAATAATTTACAATAAAACTTTTAACTTTAATGGAATATCGAGTATTTATATTTAGAAATACCCCACAGCCAACAGTAACCATTCTTTATTAAAAATGTGTCCTAAAAACTAACACCAAAAACACTTCCCATTTGACGTCCCCTCACCCAAATTCCAAACTCAAAGAACCTCCATTTCAGTTGAAAACGACCCACCTGTAGATCGCCGGAGCTATCACTCCGCCACCAACGACCACCTCCAATTCTTTGATTTCCGGCCACTTCTCGCATACCCTTCATAAGAAAAATGCTATGGGAAACGAAAGGTTCGATCTTTCAAGCATACCCCTCCTTCAAAGATTCAATTTCTACACAGACCCACAAAAAATAAGTGATCTTTTAGAAGAAATTTGAAGCTTTTGCTGTGATGATGGCGGCGGAGACTAGCACAACCACCACCCAACCACCACCGGAGTCAACTGATGAGATGGTGGTGAAGAAGGTTCATAAAAGGTATGAAGGATTAATGATGGTACGGACAAAAGCAATTAAGGGTAAAGGAGCTTGGTATTGGGCTCATCTGGAGCCTGTTTTGGTTCAGAATCCGGATACGGGTCTACCCAAAGCTGTCAAGCTCCGGTGCTCTCTATGCGCCGCCGTGTTCTCCGCATCCAATCCATCGAGAACGGCGTCAGAGCATCTCAAGAGAGGAACTTGCCGGAATTTTAACTCCGACTCTAACCCAAGACCCATTTCATCCATCTCACCTACCGGAATCGTTGCGTTGTCTTCCCCAACTTCATCGTCTTCGCCACAACCACAGCAAAACCACCGGAAACGTGGTTCTTCAGGCAAGCACAGTGGCCGTCATGACGGTGGTGGTGCTAACACCAACACCTCCGCCACGCCTTCTCCAACTTACTCAGTTGCTCCTGTTGCGATGATTGAACCGGCCCGTTATCCGGTGGACGTTTCTTACCCGACCCGGACTGATTCCATACCTGCATTGCCGACGGGGAATGTAACCACCGGTGGATTATACTCTCAGCAACACCACCCCCAACAGCTGCAGCAGCATATGATGTTATCCGGTGGCAAGGAGGATCTGGGTGCTCTCGCTATGTTTGAAGATAGTGTGAAAAAACTCAAGAGTCCGACATCATTACCTTATCAAACTTTAACAAAATCCCAAATCGATTCATCACTCGAATTATTAGCAGATTGGGTGTATGAAAATTGTGGGTCAGTTCCGTTTTCAAGTTTAGAGCATCCAAAATTTAATAATTTCTTGAACCAAATCGGATTACCCTCCGTGTCCCGCCGTGATCTTGCCGGAGAAAGGCTCGATTCCAAGTACAAAGAGGCAAAAACAGAATCCGAAGCTCGAATTCGCGAAGCCATGTTCTTTCAAATCTCATCAGATGGGTGGAAATCAAATAGTGATAATCGTCATCCAGGTGAATTCGAAAATTTGGTGAATTTGTCTGTGAATTTGCCAAATGGAACTGGGGTTTTTAGAAGAGCTATTTTTACAAGTGGCTATGTTTTTTCAAACTATGCTGAGAATGTTCTATGGGAAACCGTTAATGAAATTTGTGAGACCAATTTGCAACAATGTGTTGGGATTGTTTCTGATAAGTCTAAAGCTTTAAGAAATCTTGAAAACCAACATCATTGGATGGTCAATCTTTCCTGCCAATTTCGAGGGGTTTATGGTTTGATTAAAGATCTTAGCAAAGAAATGCCATTGTTCGATAATGTGACTGATAATTGTCTCAAAGTAGCAAACTTTATGAACACCAAGTCTCAAGTCAAGAATTCTTTCCTCAAGTATCAGTTGCAAGAATACGGTCGTGCACGGTTGTTACGGGTACCCATTTGTGGTGGCGATAACAGGTTTGCGTTTGCATTTGAACCTGTGTTTAATATGGTGGAGGATATATTAAGCTCAGCCAGAGCATTGCAATTGGTTTTGCTTGATGAGAGTTGCAAGATCGTTTCAATGGAGGATCAAATTGGGAGGGAAATCGAAGAGATGATGAGGGATTCTCAATTCTGGAAAGAATTAGAGGCAGTTCATTCTTTGGTTAAACTGATCAGAGGGATGGCTGAAGAAATTGAGAAAGAAAGACCACGAATCGGGCAGTGTTTGCCACTTTGGGAGGAGCTGAGATTGAAAATCAAGAACTGGTGTGGTGAGTTTCAGATCAATGAAAACCATGTAGACAAGGTGTTTGATAAAAGGTTTAAGAGAAACTATCACCCAGCCTGGGCAGCTGCTTTCATTCTTGATCCCTTTTACCTGATTAGAGACACTAGTGGCAAATACTTGCCTCCTTTCAAATACTTAACTTCCGAGCAAGAAAAGGACGTCGACAAGCTTATAACACGGCTCGTTTCTAGAGAAGAAGCTCACATTGCTTTAATGGAGCTTATGAAATGGAGAACCGAAGGGCTTGATCCGGTCTATGCACAAGCCGTGCAGTTGAAACAGAGAGACCCGATCACGGGTAAAATGAGAATGGCTAACCCACAAAGTAGCCGGCTGGTTTGGGAAACCTATCTAACCGAATTCAAATCTTTAAGAAAAGTAGCAGTGAGATTGATCTTTCTTCATGCCACTTCATGTGGGTTCAAATGGAATTGGTCGTTCTCGAAACGGACTCAATCAAGAAGCTCGATCGAGAAGGCCCAGAAGCTGATTTTTGTGGCTGCCCATTCAAAGCTTGAGAGACGGGGTTTCTCCAATGTTGACGATAAAGATTCAGAGTTCTTCGCAGTGGCAAATGGTGAAGATGATGTGCTCAATGATGTTCTTTTTGATCCATCTTCTCTATAAAAATGCAATCTTTTTCTTGGTTTTTGCTTATTTTACAGTCCATAGCTTATGCCAGATTCTTTCCACTGCTTGTTTCCTTAATCTTTTAGATGATTTTTGCACCTTGGATTGCTATAGAAAAGGGTGATTTTTTGGTTTGTTCATTTCTTTGGAGGTTAAAATGGGCATATCTCATTAAAAGATCATTGCTTGATGAATACAAAACAAACAAGATCAATTCAAAAAGGGTGCTATTGGTGTTAACAGACAATCTTGGTAATTTGAGAAAAAACTTCCCAAATTCTCCCTGATCTTCTCAGCTATTTACTAGATCGATCTGTTTTTATGACTAAGGATCGGTTTACAAATATTTTCCGGATAAACGCTTACCAGTAAAAATACCATACTCGCTTACCTTATTGGGTGACAAGAGTAGGTTCCGGTAAGAATGAAAGTTATAGTGAGAAGAGATCTCCATCGTTGGATAAATTCTAATTGAAGATAAACACTAATGAATGCACCAGATCAATTCTCCTGAGAAGTGCAATTCATGGGGTGCATGTGAGATTAAAAATGATCAAGGGTCCAGATTCGTTATTAAGCTTCTCACTTTAACTCCTATTCTCACACGATTCCTTGTTTGGGGTACCATTATTGACTATTAAAATTGATTGTTAGTAAGTGTCTTTTACTGGGTAAAAGTTTTCTCCTTCACTTATTAGGTAAGATTCTCGGTTCTTACTATGACTCTCACAAGGTAAAATTCTCGGTCGTTACCATGCTCACCCAGTAAAGTAAGCGTCTAGTATACGACCTCTAAGTTTGCATTTTTCCATGTCTTGGCGATAAAGTTGGCATACCCTAGCCATGGTCAAAGATAGAATTATCTCCATTCTTTCGATTTTTATAGTTTAAAATTTTTAGTATAAAATCATATATGTTAAAAACATTAAGAGAACTTACAACAATTCTTATAGTTTAATTTCAACAAAAATATTTGTAATAATGTTTAACTTTGAGAGTGAGCTCAACGCACAAATAAATGTTAATCCTTGAGCTCCTCCCCCTAGGTCGCTAGACTACTGATTTCTCTCTAGACTACTGATTTTTCTCGTTGTTATCTTCAAGGCGCATGAGATTAGTCGAGATGCGCAAGTTGGTCCGGACACCCACATTTAACAAAAAAAACCTGCAATTATGTTTAACCTAGAGGGTTAGTTCAACTGATAAATAAATATTATGCCTTCGAACTCCTAAGTTCTATCCATAAGACACCATTTCGAATCTCCTCAAAGCCAGTGCAGATTTTTCTAACTGTTATATTTAATACTCCATGGAATTTATGAGTTGCATACAAACTGACTCGAACACCGATTAAAAAAAAGTGTAATTGTGCATGGTTTCTTGTTTGTTTTTATGGTACTGGATTTGATGTCTTTTTGTAGATGGTTATGTACCAACACCATAGATGGAACCAGGCACATAGGGTTTTTGGGCATGTTCAAAATTTGTACAACAATAGTAAGGTGTCCATGCTTTCTTGCTTGTTTTTATGGTACAACTTTGATTTTGTACCATTCAAAACTACTTGACGTTTTTGCCCTTCTTCATAAAGTTATGGGCATTGATCATCATTCTCCCTTTTTCTAAACTAACTGATTCTAGAGGTGTAGATGATACGAGACAACTCGCGAGTTATTTGAGATCGATTCGGTCAACACTCGACTCGAATAGGCTCGGCTCGAACTCGAGCTCGACTCGATATATTAACGAGTCGAGTCAAGCTACCCAATACTCGACTCGAAAAGCTCGTGAGATGCTTGATTATTTTATATATAATTAGTTTTAAAATATAATCACTTTTTATGATAAAATTTGTAAAATATAAATGATAAAATGTCTTATATTTTTAGATATTTATACAAAATTATGCATTTTTTAATTATAAAACTTAATCAATTATTATTTTTTATTAAAATCACAATAAAAAAAGGCAAAGAAAAACTATAAAAAAAGTTAGTGAAATTGTCTCACATTGGAAGAGAAAAAAAATATTATAAAAAGATAGGGAGGTGAATAGAACTTCTAACTGTCTTTTTTATGATAAAGTTTGAAGTTGATCCTTTAGTTTTATAAAAACTAAGAGAAAGCCTTTAAGTTTTAAAATTTATAAGAGAAAAACTCTAAAATTTCATAAATTTCAATGGATGAGCTTGGTTCGAGTTTGATTCGAGTTCGAGCTTGATTCGAGCTTAGTTCGAGCTTGATTCGAGCTTAGTTCGAGCTTGAGAAATAGTTATCAAGTTCGAGTCGAGCTTTGATTTTTACTACTCGCGAGTTTTCGAGTCGAGTTTGAGCTTGGAAATTGGGTTTCGAGTCGAATATAGTGATACTCGAGCTCGACTCGCATTATTTAGAACTCTAACTGACTCAATAGTATTTTAGTATTTTGGAATGTTTGGTTAAAGATATCAAAAACCTCTTGGGTTCGAGATTATGTGTTCTTCAACGACAACTACTTTAAAAATTTACAGAGAAAACCAAATTTTACTTTTTTTTTTAAATTACATTCAACGCCAATAAATATTTTATTTTAACAATTTCAATATTAATTATATTTTTAAACTTTATTAATATAATATACTTTAAAATTTTAAATTCATCAATTCAAGACACTTAGGACCATAAAAATAATTAAAATAATATTTCTTTATTATTTAGTTTTAAAGATTCTTTAAATTTAAAGTTTTATAGCTTATTTTTTTATTTCTTCATTTTAAAATAATTGTTAAAACAAAATAATATATAAAATCTTTATTTTAACGTAGTTGTTGAAGAGATTATAACTCTTAAAGCTTACAAGTATCTAATTTTTGTATCAGGAAAATGTATATAATTTATTGTAAATATCTAAATAAATTTTGTTAAATGTTCAAAAAATAATAAATAATAAAAAGGAGAGAATCCAAAGATAGGAAAAGGACAAGATTTGATAAAACAAATTCCAAGGATGCATGGGATGGGGAGGTCAAACCAACACAAGTCTTGGAAGGACCTAAGTGCAAAATTCTTTGATCAAGAGGGATAAATATGGAACAAAAAGCATTTATTAGAAAATTATATACACATCATCATTCTATTGTATGTTTACACGGTTTTTTTTTTATTAATCTAGATATTCAATCCGTTATACGAGCCGATTAATTTTAGAACAACCACCTGCTTTGCAGATAGTATGGAGTCACCGCATTTGAACCTCCGTGACCACAAAGAGATTTTTATTTCTCATTAGATTTGAATCTGAGACTTCCTGGTACTTTTAATTACATTTATGTATAAAAAAATGCATAATATCATCAATTATTATATCAACATCCATATATTTTAACAAAATTCTAAGTAGATATGCTAAATTAATAACATGATAATATAGTTTATTTGTCTCTCTTACAAATTAAGATCAATTATATATTTTTTAAGGGTTAATTATTGATTTCAGTGAGTTTTTAATTTTATACAATAAATATGTACAAAAAATATTGCTTTTTATATCATTGATAGACATGATGTCATAAGAACCTACTTGTAACCAACAATTTGTAATAACAATAATGTTAATAATTGACTTCGTTTGAAATTGAGATCTCTTTTTGGTGATGTGGTATGGCTCACCAAACTTCTTATGATGTAGTTTAGATGGGCTTGCTCAATTTAGGTTGATCTGACCTTGGTGGACTCAACATGTCGGTTCATCTCCATTGTGTATCACTGTTGTCCCAATGCATGAACCCATATGCATACAAAACTCTTTTTTGTACATAACACTGTAATGTATTGGATCTCATGCAACATGTTATAATAGTTTAATACATGTAAACACAGAGCCTGCATTTTCTCCTTTTGAAACTATACACATATAGCGCATGCTAGTCATTGGTGAAAATACTATTTCACATAGAGATATACATCACATTTAAAGCACATGAACTCACCTAGCCATGTAGGTGTGATATTGGTTCCTCATGTAACACCTACACAATTGCAACATGCTCACTAAGTGTCTAGGTATCTGTAAGACACAACTGATAGCTTAACTCACATAAATAAATTTATTGGACCAAAATGTCCATCCTATGAAGTCAATGTGACCTCTTATGCAACCCCAAGGCCACTTCTAGACATATCTCCACCAAATGCATGGTTAGGCATCTGGCATGCCCCTGGCTTGTACGACTCACTGAATGTGAGCTCTTTGGCAAGCTCAAGCTCGCTCCTAAACTTACATGTACTTGTGTAAACTCATAGGATACACCCACTCGCTTCCAATCTGACTCGTGCATTACGAGCTCACTGAACATGCATTTCGGCTCTCTTTCAACTCTGAGAGGTCGTTCTTTAAATTCGTACTCCATAAAACCTACACAAAATTTACTCAACTTCGTTTTCTTTGATTCCATTTGCATGAAAATACTTATAACACTTACATCCATCTTCAAACTTATAATAGAGACGGTTTTACTTATGGTTTCTCCTCCATATAGATCAATTACGGGATTTATTCCCGTTCAACTAACTTTCATGAAAACATCCTCCCAACTCTCCCATGTGTTTTTTAAAACGTCTGAGATCATAACCATTAAATCTTCCATTTTCAACTAATGTCACATTAACTACTATACTTAGACGGAAAAAATCATATCAAACAAAACCTTAAGATAAAAGTTATCATAAATCTTACAAATATTATGAACAGGTCCCTTAACTACACCCCTCATGTAAGTATTTTTTTTTTTTTTTTTTTGCATTTTGAAATATTACTTGTTATTTGTTAACAATAAACTATTTGTTTGTTATTTATCGTAGGGTTTATTAATTGAAAAAAAATGTTAATTTAAGTTGCTTTTATTGAAAATTTATTTGTTTAGCATTTATTGAGATTTTTTAAGTCGATGCTTGTTGAAAATGGATTTCTATTGTTAATTATTAATTCGCTAGTTTTTATAATTCATTATTTAATTGGTTGATTTTTTAAGCAATTCGATTTTAGGGTTATTCATTTATATGTTGCCAATTGTTATTTGTTAAGTGTTTGATTTAACAACCTCGACCTCCTCTTATACTATAACAACCTCCTCCAC